CCTAATTTTCACATCGAAGAATTTTTATTCTATTCGGCGTTTAAGAATATTCTATTAAATAAAAATTCGTCTAAATAAAAGTTCGGAAAATAATGATTCAAAATTGAAAATTTTTTCATTTTAAAAATTTGAATCACATAAAATTCTCTTGCGTGAGAATTTTGCTAAATTAAAATTCAGCATAATTAGAATTCTTTTAAATAAAAAGTTGAATAAAGAAAAATTCTATAAAATAAAAATTCGGTAAAATAAAAATTACGTGAAATAAAAATTTGGTACCCTAAAAATTCGTTAAATAAGAAATTCCGTGAAATGCTAATACAAAAAATAAAAAAACGTCTAAAAAATTACTATATCTTGTAAAATTCTATAAAATAAAAATTCTAACGTCTTTTATGGAATAACCATACGCTCCCCTTTTTGATTTGAAGACGAAAATTAGGACTATAATTAATATGAAAAAATTTAATATACAAAAAAATACAATTTAAATTAATCAAAGTTGACCATAATAATTTTTATATAAAGATTTTTGAATTAGATTTATATTGAAAATCGCGAATAGAATCCAATATAACTCTCGATAAAATTTTCAATTTCAATTATAACCTTCGAGATTGAATATTGGAAGAGAGCGAGAGAGGTCAAATCGACTAGACATGATATTTATTTAGTAGATAAAGATTTCATATACTTCATCACTCATTCTCGCGATATACACCTGACATTCAATAATTTTTAAGTTTCGCTTGTTTTCTTTTTTTATATTCGTTTAGAAATTCTTGCGTCTTCAATTAACCAGTAGGTGGTCACTATTATTTATTTGAAATGTTTCTTTTCTTTTTTTTTTTTTTGAAGCATTGATATTTTTTTGTGCTTTTACTGGAATGAAGCAATTTTCAGAATACAATGAAAAATCTCCGGAAGGGATAGAAAAAGAGAGAGAGAGCTGAAAGATTCCTCGTCTGGAAGCAAAAAGCATCAACAGATTTCTCATTCTTGTTGACGGGTTACCTTTATACCAATAAAAATATTATAAGATTGAGTTTATTGAACCACACACAAGGCCTTTAGAGATTTATCATTAATTTTTCAATCAAATATTTCAATACCTCGTTCAATACGAAATTTCGTATTCCAGATGTTCACAGAAAATTATAAGGTATTAAAATAAACTGCAACGCTTATTTTAATGCCTTTTAATTTTCTGTGTTTTAATCATAAGGAATAAAAAAAGCAGTGTAGTTTTCACTGATTCAAATTTAAAGAATAATGATAATAATAATAATAATAATAATAATAATAAAAATATTAAATAATAAAAAATAATATAAAAAATAATAGTAATAGTAATAATAATAGTAAAAAAATAAATAAAAAAAAATTATTATATTAACAAGAAAGAGTGATTTCCATTTATAAATAAAATAATAAAATTGTATTTTAAAGCCCTAATGAACAATAATCAAAATTGAAAAAAATTGTGATTATATACTGCAAAAAAAAAGTATCAAACTCAAAATGAGAAACCATAAGCATTCATTAAAAATAAATTTTCCTAATTGTGCACTTATTCACATTTATACCGAGAGAAGAATTTCCGTCATTATAAAATCAACCATTCATTCTTGACAATGTTATAAGAAATAAAAGCCGCGTAAAGGCGTTTATAATATATATATATATGATGTAAACAGAAACGAGACCTAGAAAAATAATTAAATGACTATTAATCTTGAAAGATAATGCAACTTGTGGACGCGCCTTTCACCCTATCATATATAATCATCAACACACCTCTGTAATAGTTTACACTCCACATACGTTCTGAAAGGTACAATTTAAATAAATGTACTTTCTTGTATAAAAGAAAAAAAAAATTTTTTTTATACTTTTAATCAAAGTCAACTGATTTAATTTAAAACAGTTATGCTTAATGGTATTTTTCAATCATTTTCCAGATTTGAGTTCAACGAAAAAAAGAAACTTTTTGGTTTGTTTATACTTTAAATGCCAAACTAATTATAAATATATATATATAAATGTGTATTCCAGTGGAACCAATTCCGTTATTTAAAGAATTATAAATGCCGTTACTAAAACAATGTAAAAGAGACAATTTTCTTCTATTTCGTTATAGTAAAATCAAATTTAATTATTTTCATTTGTTTCTTAATTTTTCTACAAGTGAATAAATTGTGTGCCACTTGCTAAAACACGTGAGATCCTAATAACAAAATAGTATTTAGAGCAAGTGCCGTGTATACTTTTTTTTTATAAGAGTAATTAAAAATATACTTTAACGAGAAAAAAATCTAGAGAAAAAAAATCAAGAAAAAAAATTTATAAATAAAGAAATAAAAATAAAAAACGATTTTATATAAAGTAATTCTTTTCTATAAATTTCCATAAAAATAAATCCAAATTTCAAAGAAATTATATGCGGTTCTTTAAAACTCTTCCAATATTATTTTTCCACTAAACAATAATTTAACTGACACTTTCACAAAAAAAATTATATTTTCAACAAATTTCCGCCTACGAAATTTCCGGTCATTAATATTCTTTCATGCTAAGAGAGCTTGAAAATACAACTCTTGAGTCGTTATATTGTATGCAAATTATGTCATGACAAATAAATAATCAAATATCAATATATTTGTATTTCTAATTGTCCAACATTCAAAATAAATTAAAATTTAAAAAAAAATTAAAATTAATTTTATATTATTTCAAAATTTTTAAAACACTACAATTTTTATATTCGCGAATTTTTTATTCCAAAACAATCTCAAAATGTAAAAATATATAGTAAATAATAAATACAAAAAAAAAATATATAATAAATATATATTAAATGTAATAAATTCAATGACAATCAGTAAATAAGGAGAAATAAGTCATAATTAACAAAGTATATAATTAACTATTAATTATAGTATCCGAGTTAGTAATCTCGGAAGTTAACGAACGTAAAAAAAAAAGAATTTTTTTTATCTGCAGTAAATATGTATTATAAATTTGGTGCAAATAGAAATTTTTTTTGTTAATTGAGATAAATAATAAACGTTATTATTAAATGTGAAATTGTTTAAACAATAAGAAAATTATATATAGTATAAGAAGGAAATTATATAAGAAATAAGGATTAGTCGCAATTACTCTATATAATGATCGATTGAGTTATCGAGAACAGTGTCGGTGATCTATCCATTAATTTCCACATTTGGATTCTAATTGGAAGACGTGCAAGAAATTAATTAGGTGTTCTTGATTACTACTGATTACTAATTGGAAGATGGTTCTGCATGGTCACCTTCGAAACAATTTATTCAAGTTCCGATAAATTGAGAAAATATTTTAAATTTACTTTCAACAGGTCAATAGAAAGAAAAATGTAAAATTATATACTCAAGAAATTGAATTTAAAATAAATAACTTTGAATAATTAAAAAAAAGTCCATCTCTTGATAAATAAAATAAATTTGAATAAAAATAAATTGCAATTAATAAAAAATAACTAAAGTACTAACATTATAAAAATAATATTATAAAAATTAAAATATTTTCTATAAAATTTTCTTTTAAAATGTTTTGTCACTATAAAATTAGATAAAGTTTATATACAACAAAAGTGAGTAATACAAAAATGCGAATATTACTCACGTTTACATACTTATAAAGAATTATCAATTTCAAGATTAGAAATCACATTTCCCGTTTAATAAGACATTTCAAATTATATGACTGTTATTGATAATAGTAGATTTATTTTTATTATTTTATATATCTTTTAAAGAAAAAGCGTAACGGGATTGGGCCATCTTTTCATGAAACAGGTTTTGACCAGTCATCTTACGGAACTTAAATATGACATTAATTTATGGAAGTGAAATTTCAATCATCATCATCAGATAAATTTCCAAAAATTAAAAAAAGAAAAAATTATTTGATCACTATAAAAATCACGAATTTCATATATAGAATTAAATATGTAAATATTTTGCAATTTTAACAATAAGAACGATAATAATATTAATTAATAATAATAATAATAATTTAATTATAATTTTAATATCATTATAATTAATTACGAACTAAAACTGTATCAATCCATTTCAGTTTATTTAAATTATATAAGACCTGAGAGTCTGATAGAATAATCAATCCCCCTAAGTAAATTATAAAGAAGTCTTTGGATTAACTCAATGTCAACGTGAAATTAGAAGTATAAGAGATAAATTAATTTTTAAAAAACGTAATGTTAGAAGTGTCTAATAATTGTAAAATGTTGAGTGAGTCAATTAAAAGTAAACAATACGAGGGTGGGTCTAATTTTATATTGAAAAAAAAGAAACTAAAAAAAGAAAAAACAAAAATTGATGGAAGAGTGTATGAAATATAATTGAATTATATTAATAATACCTTCAATCAACTTCACTTCCATGAATTTCAAACTACATTACAAACTGTCATATTGCAATAGTGTCAAAGTGAATAAATTGAGGTTAGTTTTCAGTTCAATATTCTGCACAACACTTTGACCAACATCAAAAAAACATGACTCATACACCAACACATGAAAAATTGTTCTAATTAAATTAAATCTTATAAATATTTCCTCAATCTTCAAAATGTTTAATTTAACAAAACAAAACAATAAAAAATATAAGTAACGGAAACTTTGAAATGAAACTTCTGTCCCGGGCACTAATGACATTTAGATAACAATTATTTACCATAAAAATAAATTGTCATTTGTAAATTTTATCAAAAATATGTAAAAAAAAATATATAGAATAGAAAACACAATGACAAAAGAAAAGACTTGGAAATGACAACAGGGGTGGTCCTGGAAAACTGCGTGGGAGACAGGACTTGTTTTAAGGGAAATTTTACATTGTTCCCGGTGTTAAATGTTTACTGACACAAAGGTGAATGTCTCACGCGTGAGAATTATGTAACTATTGTTGTATGACTTGTAAATAAATACAACTTACCGCTGATCGTGGCGAAAAACGTCAGGACCGCGCACTCACACACTCTTTCACTCCGAAATGCCTGCAGCAAACTGTCGTGCGGCGGCGCCGACAGCGACGCCATCTTGAATCGATCCGACAAAAGCGCGCGTAACCGTCTGCTAAATTCAAAAATTCAAATTTCTCAATTATCAAATTTTTTTAAAATTCACTTTATATATTTAAATAACATTTAAATAGTTAATCAAACTCAAAAATTACTTCTTAATTTAAATAATTATAATTAATTTGAAAATTAATAAATTAGAAAATAAATAGAATAAGAATTAAAGTATCAATAACTGTAATTTAGAGATAATGGGGAAAATGAAAGACATATTATTTTGAAGTCTTCTGTATAATGGCAAACGGAAATACAAGTCGTAGAAAAAGAATACAAATTACCAAAAAAACGCTTACAAACATTGGAAACGTGTCAAAAACAATTTTTTTTTTTAAAAAAACAAGTTATAACATTATCAGACAAAATTTCACATGAAGTATAATAAATAATTTTTTTTTTTTCAAATAAACGTGCAATTTTACACGCTGAATCATTATTATCGGCATAATTATATTGTAGTATAGGCAACGACTAAAAGTGATGCGCAAAAATACAAAAATTAGTTATAACATGAAAAATTTACAAATTACTGTCATTTTTAATAATTTAAAGACGCTAACTAATCACACGTACGTTTGATTGTATTACTGTTTTAATTACGTACACCTAACATTGTCTCGCAAAATTCGTTCATACAATCATATTAGACTTTTTTTTCCTAATTCTCATCAGCATTAACATAACACACTTCATTTTTTTTTGTTTTTAATTATCAACACGAAAACTTACATATCGAGCATTTTGTAAATTCGATTCGTGCCTTTGGAATCACCTTTTTTTTGTTTATTTTTTTATTTATATTTATTTTTTTATATATTATTAATAATAATTCTAGAACGCGTTAGAAAAGGCGATAATTGGACACCTTGAAACGGAATTATTATTATTTTTTTTTTTGATAAGTCTTACATAAATTATGTAGAAAGCTCTCATTTTTTGTTTTTCTACACCATTACGAAAATCTATCGATAAAAACGTTCTTATTTTTAATTTTCTTAACAAATGCAATATGGTTTTTCTCACTTATTTTTATGGTTCACCAAAACGATGAATATTTCACATTCATTTAAACACTGCTTCTCATTCGTTTAAATTCTAGAATATTTTATCTTATAATTGCATGGGGGGAATTATTTTAAAAAAAGAATTTTTTAAATTGTCTAGTGTGGCAACATATCACCGTTGACTTTCCTCTCTTTGAACTCGATTCTTATCAATAGAACAAAACAAAACACACACACACACATTTGCCATTTTCTCACAATCAGACTAGTAAATTCTAATAAATTAATGAAATATTTTCATGTGACATTTCAAAGTTTGGCTCATCTTCTCTTCTTTTACAACATATTGAAGACAATTAAAAAGTATGTGCATTGCGGCATATTCCACAGCCAAGAGCAAATTCTTCGCCTGTTGGCGGATGTTTCACATGTAAAGGGCATTCATCTCCCTCTAGCTGTTTGCCTTTTGGTCCTGAAACAAAATTTTCCCATCCATTATATCAAATGATATATAAAATAAAAATATCTTCTTTTTTTTTTTACTGAAATATAAAAATATATAAAGAATAAATTTAGTAAAATAAATAAAATTTAAATAAATAAACTTACCCGCTGGACAAAATGGCAATTGGGTTTTTGGAATGTTGGTAACTCGTTGAAAATCATCGTGACAATTATTACAAAAATGTGTCGAGCCAAAACAAAAGAAAACGGCAACTGAACAACAATAACGACATTTGTATTCGAGAAAATCGGTTCCGTGTTTGGGGCACATTTGAGCACGTGCAACATCGCTGCAACCTCCGCAAACAAGTTCCGTGGGATCGAATGTTTCGCCGCCTTGTTGAACATCACATCTCGCTTCGCCACCATAATAGGCTTTTTGACATTTATAACATACATAATAAGCGTAACGATCCATCGCATACGCGGTTGGATCTTGGTAATAACGACCACCCGGCGATATCACCGCCTCAGCTCTGAAACACAAAAATATAATTAAAATTACAAAAAAAATCCCTATTTATATAAAATAATTTACAATAAGTAGTAATTCAGGCCTCGGATCGACTTTAAGGCGCAAAAAAAGTCGTTTTAGCCGATTTACATTCCACAAAAAAGTCGATTTTTATATTTTAATTAAATTTAATTAGTTAATAAATATTTTACTTTAAATAACTAATGTTGGAAGATATTAAATTCATTTTATTAATTCCTTAATAGGAATAGTTTTTTAAGAATATTATCAAGAAAATTTATTTCAAATATTTCAGAATCGAACTAAGGCAAATATTCAAAATTTTATTTAAATATGAAGAATTTCTAAAAAATATTCTAAAAACTTTGTTTAAAAAATATTTTAATGTCTGATTTAAGCAATTTATACGAATTTAAAATTCAGGCATAGTTTTTAGTTTTAAAGATAAAAAAATTTCGGATAATAATTAAGTTTTCCAGATTTTAATTTAAATAAATTACTAAATTAAAAAGAAATTTAAACATTTAAATTTAAAAAAATTAAAATTCTTCTCAAATAATTGAATTGCAGAATATTTTAAATTTGAAATAAATTTTCTGCAAATTTATACTGATGTAATTTTTTATTTTATTTTTGACAACAATTAAATTTTACAGAATTGAAAATAATTTATTAAACAATTTTAGATAGGTAGCCTTTTTTTAAAAAAATTATTAAATTTTTGAAGCTTTGTAATTCAAAATTTTTAAAATAATTAAACTTATTTGATTTATTACTGAAATTTTTTATAACTTCTGTTGCTGAAGAATTTATTAGAAATTACGGATAAAAATTGAATTTCAAAAGTTTTTAATTGAAAAATGCTTTCAGATAATTGAATTTTTGAAGAAATCATTAAAAATAATTTAATTGTGGATGAGTTAAAGTTGAAAATTTAAGAAATAATTGAACTTCAAAAGATTTTAATTGAAAAATACTTTCCAATAATTGAATTTTTGAAGAAATCATTAAAAGTAATTGAATTTTGGATGAATTAGAGTTGAAATTTTTAGAAATAATTAAATTTTAATAGATTTTATTAAGTTTCAGACAATAATTAAATTTTACAGAATTGAAAATAATTTATGAAATAATTTTAAAAAAGCTTTTCTTTAAAATATTTGAATTTTTAAATATTTACAATTAAGATTTTTGAAAATAATTGAATTCAAAAAGATTTAAATTGAAATTTTTGGTAATTTTGTTTCTGTATAAATTTCCATAATTTTTTTTAATTAAGATTAATTAAGAATAATTAATTTAAAAAAGAATTTTAGTTAAAAATTTGTTAAATAATTAAAATAAGGAAGATTTAAAGAATATCTGTATTATAAGTTAAAACAGACGTATTTTGTTTAAAATCTGTGTAAAAAATATAAAAAAAAGTCGAAAATAGTCGAAAAAGTAGTATAATCCGAGACCTGGTAATTTACAATAAATAATTATAATAATTTAATTTTAAGAAGTACTACTGTACGAATGGGCTTGTCCCGTTAACTTATTAAATAAAATAATAAATAATATGCAATATTATAAATTATAAAAGAATTTAGGTAAATATTGTAAATATTATTAAATTGCAAAACCTACTTGTGCAAACCCTCGTACTCCAATCGCATCAGCGCCTTTCGTCGAACGTCCTCATAAAGAGCCTTGACACTTGTGAGTTGTTCCGACAAATTTGGATGTTCCATGGGCACTTTACAAATTGGACAACAAGCAAATCCAAAAGTAATTCTTGGTCCCACCCATTTTTTAACAAGAACATTCCAACAACAATGCAAATGAAAAATATGACCGCACTGAAGTTGTATAGCCGGTGCGCTCGATAGTGCCTCAACAAAACAAATCATACACATGTCGTCTGCGTCTTGCTTCAAATCACCATTTGACACACAACGATGAAGACACGGTAAACATTGACGTTCATTGCGTACACCACCGCAAATATGACCGCAGGAATGAATTTTATGACACGCATTCTTTGCATGCTCCTGACAATCATAATCGGCACATACATTTCCAATTGCCAATAATCCTGTGTTTCCCGTTGCTCCACAAAAACGACATAAACCCGTTGATAATCCAGCTGGTTTTTGTGGTGAACCATCGCGAAATTCAACTAATGCCTTTAATGTACTGCTATCGGCCAATGCAAGAATCCAAAAGAGTTTTGTTCTTCCACAACCCTCATGAAGATCAACGCGAATTGCCTCCTCCTCTTCTTTACAAACTTGTCGTTGATGTAATTTTGTTTTTCTATGTAAATGAAGAATACGATCGCATTCGGCGCATAGATTACCGCAAAAATTGCACTGTATCACCGCCACTGTCTCATTGTCGTCATGATTCGAGCAGGTTTGCTGAAATTAAATTATTTTTTAAATTTCTTTGTTTTTATTTCAATTTATATTTTAGTTTTTGAATAATTTTTTAAATTTCTATTTCGAGAAGGAAATAATAATCAAAACTTACTCTTGGAAGAGCTGGTTGTCCATCGGTTGCACTCCATTGGCCAGATGTTAATCTCTCAACATGATCCGAATCCAAAACACAAAGAGAAGATAAAGCCAGCCATAAAGTTGGCGAATGAAGACATTCAGTGGGTTCTCGACTTTTTTCATCCATTCTTGTTAAATTGAGAATATTTTCCGCTATCGCTGCTTTTGTCACTAATGCCCATGAGTCCGATAATTTTCCCTACGAATTTTATAAAAATTCAGTAAATAGTAAAAGAAAAAAATTAAAAATATAAAAAATTAAATAAATAGAAAAAAACTTACGGAGGCCATATCCTTGAGTAATTGAATGATGAGTTCGGACAATTTTCGAGTCATACAACCTCGCAACCACCATCGAGCGCCGAGGAAATTTTTCGGATGAATACTCGTCGCCAACGATACAGTTTGTAGTGCCTTTCCATTATTCTCCTTTCCTTTGACCTTCACTTGAACAGTCAACGCTTTTGCGATACAACTAAGAAAAACATCCAAAATTCCCGGTGCATGTTCATTAAAATCTTCGCCCTGTGAATAATCACTATTACCCACTGAAATGATACTAAAATCCGATGGTGGCAATCTTTCGATTCCAACAGCGTTTGCAAATAATTCAGGTTTAATTTCCGGTAATATTCTCCTGAGCAATGAAATTACTTGTCTTTGAACGCGTGCCGTGCCTGTGTGAAGTAAACTCAATAAATCCTCTAAAAGTCCATATTGATGGGACAAATAATTCCTTCCCACTGAACTTCCACTAAGTGCCAAGACCATTGACAGCATTTCAAAACAATAGGTATCCACAGCTTTTGGTAAATCACTACCATCACTCAAAATACTATTAATCGGTGTTGGTGAACACAACAATATCTCCCATTCCTCACGTAAACGAATTGTCTCCTTTTTAATAGCCTGAACAATATGCGAACAAACTTGTTTTTGAAGATGCGTCAATTTACTTCTACTAAACAAAATTCCCACCATATGCTCACGAAGATCATTACTGTCTTCCAAATCATCGCCCTCAATTGGTTCAATCGGTTGTTGTTGCTGTTGTTCACCTTGAATCAATTTTCCAAATACCTGCGATGTTATCAAACGAAACACCTTCAAAGTATCCGACTCACAATTTCTCTGCTGTATCGTCAATGAATTCAATTGTTTTCCCAATTTCAACGATTCACCTTCCATTTCCCCCAGAATACGTATTTGACGAACTCTTAATGAATTATCAGGTCCTTTTAATTCCAAACTAATATTTACATGCTTTGAATTTGTTATTTGACAATTAATCCAACCAGTGAAACGTCCTTCAATCTCCATTGTTCGTAAATTAATCATTTCATCTGATTTCACACCCGACAGAAAAGTAAGACTTCCAACTTTATGTGTCAAATCACGACAATTGTCAATGTGTATATAAATCATACGTGGATGTGATCGTGATCCACAAACAATTGTTATTGTTTTTGTTTTATTTTTATCCTCATCACCTGATTCCCAAAATGTTTCCGTTGAATTATCAGTTAAACTGCCAATCATTGCCTGACGGCTCGACGCTTTAATATCAACATCCGATGTTAAATCTTTTAAAGCTTCGACAAAATTTGCCGATTGTTGCGAATACATTGATTGATGACTCTCATGCATACTCATATTAACATCCTCTTCCTCCTCGGAACGAGTGAGTATTTTACTGATATTACTAAACACATGACTTCGATGTAAAAACATATGATCAGCGGGTGTGAATTTAATTCCCCAACAGCGTACCGCTGCTTGTTGTAGCGGTGAACCTGGTGGTAAAAGTAACATTAAATCGGCAATTGTTTGTAAAAGATTGTGAAACGATGTTGGTAGAAGATTTGTCGATTCACCAGCGACAACTAAATCACTCAATGGATGTTCACAAACACCAATCATATCGGGATCGTCTTTCTTATCAACACGATTATCATCTTGATTAATCATTGACTCGGGAATAATTGGCGTTAATGAGGCAACAAACCACCAAAGTAAATCATGAAGGCATATTGGTTGTGTCACATTTCTAATCAGCCAATTGAGTGCCTGCATTGCGTACATACGACATGCGGCTCTTCTCAACGATTGTTTAATTGACAATTGAAGATGTTGAAGATTATGTTGTTGAAGAACAAAAAACATAACAGGTCGTGTGAGAAGATCAATTTTATCAGCGTTCTCCGTTTCCTGACTAGTGGAAACAATTGCCGATTGATCCATTGATGGTACGAGTTTTTGAAGAGCCGCCGATGGATAACAAAGTAATGATGATCCACCATCGTTACTCATTTCACTGCTACTGTTATTTCTCTTACGTGTCATGACAATTCTTCCATCGTTGCTATTTTTCGCCCAAGGTGCGCCCGTTGTCATTGAAACTGATCTGTGAAACATTCCACGATTTTTACCACTGTCACTGTCACTATCGCTCAATGGACATTCGGACAATGGTCTTGTTGTATTTGCATTAGTTCCTTCGTAATTTTGTTGACTCGTTTGTGGTCGTAAATTTTCCTCATAGTAACGATCATCGTTGCATGACGATTGATTGACACCAAGGGCTTGAAGACATTGAAAGGGACCATTAGTGGGAAATGGTCCAGCAGCTTCTGGAGGGCTATAATTTTCCGCGACTGACGATAAAGTTTGTGATGAACGTCTCTGTTGTTTTGGAATTGTTGGTCCTGATGCACTGGCAAGATCCAATAGAAACATTGCATTATTTTTGATAATAATGTGATTTTCATTTATTATCGGACTGCTCACTGGCGAGGGGAATTTATTGATATCACCTTTTCTCTTTGATGTTCGACCAACACATTTTCTTGTTAGACGATGTGATTTTTTTGCTTTTAAATATTTATCGCGACATGATTCGCAAATTAGGTACCATGAACTAGCGCCAAATCCACCGTCACCGCAATTTCCGGCCCAGCCGAAACAATACATTCCACCGCTATTGTAACCCTTGCCACCGGCTTGCCATCCACAACCTGGATGTGACATTTTCATATGATAAGTAACAGGATGGGGAAATAATCCACCGCATAATTCACAAGTTGCTTCGCGTTCAATTGCCGTTGAGGGGTAATTTGGTTTTGTTGCTGTTTTCAATTCTTTTTTCCGCTTATTACCCTTTTTATCACGATCTTTTAATTTGTCTTCGAGTAATGCTTTTTCAGCGGCGCGTTTTGTGAGTTTTGATTGTGCACTCGTTGTTGGCGATGAGAGAACTGTTTGTTGTTCCATTGCGTGAAGACAATGGGTACTCAATTCCTCCCAAAGGAAAACTAAACTCTTTAATGCCGGTGGAAGTATTGCAACTGTATGAAGTTCGGGAAGTGCTGATAATTTATCGTCATTGACATCATCTTTACACGTTGTACTTGTGTCACCTTTCTTTCGACTTCTATTTGCACAATCAGCTGAACGCGTTAATGTTTCAAGTGTACTCGGTTGAATGTGTAAATAATTTCCCGCATTTGACACTTCAACGGAATGTCGTTGACTTGCTTTCATTTCTTTTGTCATTTCTTCGCGATTTTTATTATTATTTTGAACTGCAGCCTGTCTTGTTACAACAACAGCGCCTTCCTTAGGTAATGTGGGATGAAATTTCAAAAAACTTGCACACGCCATTGCATCATGTACAATACCCTCGTGCCAAAGAAATGCGGCAAAAACAGCACGTAAACATTCAGCTGCCGATGGACTCATTGCTTCTTTAATTTTATCTTTATTCAAATTCAAATTACTATTTGGACTCGATGTTTCCTTGCGATTTGTACTATTAACCGGTGACATTGCTCGTTTTGTTCTTGTTTTCACGACTTTTGTCAAATCACGACGATTACATTTTGGTGAATTTCGTTCTTCTTTCGTTCCTGATGATCCAATACTAAAATGACCCATTACAGAAGCAGTTGCATTTTCGGGACTTGTTTGCGTTTGCGCCTCTGTCAATTTGTTTGGACTATCCTGTGAATCCTGAAAAAAATAATTACATTTTCTATTTTATTTATAAAAAAATTTTTTTGTAATAATATTTTAATATTTAATTAATTAATATTATATTTTTAATATTTCTGTAAAATATTCCAAATTACTATCAAGAAAATGTTTTTGAAATTATTTTAGTTATTGAAAACTTTTTTTTTTTTATTTGTGATAAATTCTGTAAATTGGAAATTAACTTACAAGTGATTCTCGTTTCGGAGTATTTGGTGGACTAGTGACATTCTCCTCTAATTTAATTTGTTGTGAACTGCAACTTCGACTTGGAGATGGATCTCTTGTATTTGTATTTGAACTTACTCTGCTTAATGAATGGAATTGATCTTGAGTCAAACTGCTGTTTGGAGTATTTGTATCGGTTGGAGTTGCCTCACAGCGTTGGGCTTTTGGAATATCAGTCACTCCTCCTGAGACTAATTAGTAATAATCGATTTAATAAATAAACAAAAATCATCCAACATATTTGAAATTAATAAAATAAATAAATTAATATTATTCAGGCCTTGGATCGACTTTAAGAAGCAAAAAATGTCATTTTATTTACATTCAAAAAAAAAGTTGAAAAAGTCGATTTTCTTTATTTTAATTAAATTTACTTAGTTAATAAATATTTCACTTTAAGTAACTAATGTTACTAGATATTATATTCATTTTATTAATTCCTTAATAGGAATAATTCTATAAAAATATTATCAAGAAAATTTATTTCAAATATTTCAGAATCGAACTAAGGCAAATTTTCAAAATTTTAATTAAGTATGACAAATTTCTAAAAAAAATTCTTAAAGGTACATTTTTAAAATTTTTTGAAGTCTGATTTAAACAATTTATTCGAATTTAAAATTTTGGCATAGTTTTTTATTTTAAATGCTAAAAAAAAGAATTTAGACAGTAATTAAGTTTTACAGATGTCTAAATTAATTTCTTTTTAAATAATTGAATTACATAAAATTTAAAAGAAATAAAATTTTTAAAAATTAAAACTTTTGTAATTTTTTTAAAATTTCTGACAACAATTCAATTTTAGAGTTTTTATTTAACACTTTTTTAAATAATTAATTTTTTTAAAAAATATTAAAAATTATTAAAAATAATTAAATTTTTGGATGAGTAACAATTGAAATTTTTATAAATAATTGAATATCAAAAGCTTTTGTTAAGTTTCGGACAATAATTAAATTTTATAAAATTGAAAATAATTTATCAAATAATTTTAGATAACCTTTTTTTTGAAAATAATTGAATTTTCGAAAATTTACAATACAGATTTTTAAAAATAATTGAATTTCAAGTAATTTGAAATTGAAATATTTGGTAATTTTATTTGCTATAATTTTTTTTTTTAATTTTAAACAATTTTTCAAAAAAAATTTAATTGAAAAATGCTTTTAGATAATTGAATTTTTGAAGAAATCATTAAAAATAATTGAATTTTGGATGAGTTACAATTGAAATTTTTATAAATAATTAAATTTTAAAAGCTTTTGTTAAGTTTCGGACAATAATTAAATTTTACAAAATTGAAAATAATTTATCAAATAATTTTAGATAACCTTTTTTTTAAAAAATAATTGAATTTTCGAAGTATATTAAAGTTATTGAAAATAATTAATTTTGAGAAGAATTTTTGTTAAAAATTTGTCAAATAATTAAAATAAGGAATATCTGAAGAATATTTATTATATGCTAAAAAAAGACGTATTTTGTTTAGAAATTTTGAAAAAAATGTAAAAAAAGAGATGGAAAAAGTTGTATAATCTGAAACCTTAATATTAAATAAAATATTAATTAAAATATTAATTAAAACATATAAACATTAATTAGTCGAATTATTCAAACATATGTTTGAAATAAAACAATTTTAGAACAAATTTCATAACATTATAACTTTTTTGTTAAAATAAATTGTTGAAATTGTTAAAAATCTTACCCAAAGGTGAAAATCTACCACTTTGTGAGGAACCATAAAGAGAAACACTACTGCTTGCACTCTCTGCTCCGCTAGCTAAATTTCTTCCACCTTTTTTAAAAGAATATAATTCAAAAATTAGTACCTATTATAATAATTTTATTTTGATAATTTTATTAGTATGTTAATTTGTTTATTTTTATTTTTGAATATTAAATATTAGTAGATTAGTAGGCAATACCTAAAGCATTTGCAGCGGATGGAAAAAGACAATTAGAAGAACTCATTGATGGATGACTGCACCCGGCTAAAAAAAATCCAACACCACTAATTTTTACCCTTTTTGCCAAAATATCAACAATATAAAAAAACCCAAATTAAACAGAAATTTCAGTTTCTCATTACAATACAAACTTTCATTTCCATATAATTCGAGTAAAATATATTTTTTTAAATTGACAATGAAAATTTTGAAAAAACCAAAGCCGTAAGGATAAGTTAAAAATTCAAGGACTAACTTAAAATTAAAAAGACGGAAAAATAGAAAATTTAAATTAAAAAAATAATTAATTGAAAAATTAAAGAACATACCGACAATAGGAACGGGACTGGAAGACCTGTTGTGAAATCTCGGAGAATTGGTTTGTGGATTTTTTGGTGAAGAACTTCGTGATAATTTTTTTGGTGTTTCCGGTGTTGTTGCACCGTTTCCATTTGTACGACTCTCGCCAATTGCCTTTACCAATTCTTTCACAGAAACGCCGATAAATTCGGAAAAATCCCTGAAATTAAAAGAAGTGTTTAGCAATCAGATCAAACAATTTAACTAATTTGTTGTTTTATTTTTCATTTGGAGAAAATTAACTTACCTTCCAGATGAACCTTTCTTTTCACCATAAAGTTTATCGTCACCTCGTAACCATTTTTGCAATGCATTAAATTTTCCACCACTATTCTCCTTTTCCTTTCCACTTTGTTCTTTCGGTGTAAAGTTACTTTTAATAAATCTCGGCGGTGTTTCATTCTTCTCTTGAACATTTTTCTCATGTTCTGAAATAAATTATTTAATTATTATTTAAAATCTGTATTTAATTTATTATTTGGGTATTTAAAAGAAATTTTTATTAGAAGAAAAAAAATTTACCCGGCGAATCATGTTGACTGTAGGTGCCAAAAACGAATGGATTGGAATTTCCTGCATCGCCGGAACCAGCGGTACTTGGTGAAAAGTTTTGTGAACTAAAGTTGAAACCATCGTGACTGCCAGAGGGATTGGAAAAGTCAAAACCTTTGTTAGTTGGCGATGAGGATATTTCTTCAATTGCTGATTTCTTTTCAATTGGATCAACATCCAAGTCTTGTTCCGATTTCATGTAAATTATTCCTTTTTTATTGACAGCAAGCGACCATGCCTCGCCTTCCGTGTCAAAGCAATATTTGTTCATTGAATCATCGTCAATTCTCACCCACACACCCTCATTGTTTACAAACTGCGAGGTAAATAAAAAAAATTTTATTTTTCATCAAAATTAGAATAATATGGATAAATTAGGATTAATTAAAGTTTAAATTAGGGAGAAAAAAAATAAAATTCTCACATCTTCCTGAACAGTGACACTATTTCCGAGAGCTAAAATTCCAATGGGTCTTGCTTTTAAATTTGGTCGGCTTCTGATATTATGACCTGAGGCACCGCAAGTTATCACCACCATACTCGTTCCACCGTTGAATGTCGCTGTTTTCCTTTTACTAAAACGACGAGATGTTCTGAAGAATAAGATAAAGTATTCTCTAACTTAAAAAAAAGGGAAAATGTTTATTAATAATAAATACGTACTCTTCAATTTCGGAGCGTTTTCTTAGAATGACATCCTTCACAACTGATTTCACATTATTCTTCAGCTCATCAACAGGAAATAGTAGAGTTTTTCCCAAATGTTGATTGTACTGAAGACACCAAGCCTCAAAATGACTTTTACTGCAATATTTCATTATTGACTCTGCATTCAATCTCAACCAGACTCCATCGTCATTGTAATACTGTGAAACAAGAGAAAATTATATCGAATATTTGAATAAAAAAAAAAAGAAATTCACTTTTTATTTTCCATGTTTATTTATTTTATTTATTTATTATTTATGTTGAAGATTTTAATTCTTTTTTTTTTTTTAGTAATTTTCTATTAGAGTAATCTCACCTCGTCTATGAAAACTATTGTGTGATCAACAGGAACAATACCAATTTGTTCACTCTGTAAGGAAGGTTGAGTCCTTATTCTCAAACCAGCACTACTCGTGGAAACGAATTTTCTCAACTTTGTTAGTTGTTTTGGAAGTTTTGTCATAAGATTTTGCGTTGGTGGCTGCACACCCAATGGTGGTTCTTTTACCTCAACTTTATAATTCTAAAATATAAACAATTTGCATTATGTGAATATTTTTCAAAAAAAATTAGAAAATTACAGGCCTTGGATCGACTTTAAGGTATAAAAAAAGTCGTTTTAGTCAATTTACATTTTAAAAAAAGTCGATATTAAATTCATTTTATTAATTCTGTAATAAGAATAATTTTACAAGAATATTATCAAGAAAATTTATTTTGAATATTTTAGAATCGAACTAATTGTAAGACAAATTTTTAAAATTTTATTTAAGTAGAAAATAGAAATTGCAGACAAAGGTAGAATTTGAAAATTTTTTAAAAGTGAAAAATGGTTTTAGATAATTAAATTTTCGAAGAGTATTATAAAAATCATTAAAAATAATTGAATTTCAGGAGAGTTATAGTTGAAATTATTAAATTTCAGAAAGGTTTAGATAGAAAATTTTAGAAATAATTAAATTTTAGTGGTTATTTTAAATTGAAAATTTTTGATGTTATTTGATAATTCTTTTTTATAATTTTAAAAAATTATTCAATTTTATAAATTCTTTAATTACACGAATTTCATTAAAATTATTGAAAATAAATGAATTTCGAAAAAGTTACAATTGAAATTTTTAGAAATAATTGAATTTTTGAAAAATATTATAAAAATTATTTTAAAAAATAATTATATTTCAAAAGAGTTATAATTAAAATTATTAAATTTCCGAAAGTTTTAGATGAAAAATTTTAGATATAATTAAATTTTAGAAAGTGTTAAATTGAACTATTTGAAAATAATTGAATTTTAAGTGATTTTGAATTGAAATTTTTGATAATTTTTGTTGCTGATTTTTAAAAATTTCAAACAATTATTGAATTTCATAAATTCTTTAATTCGACAAATAGTTTAATATAATTGAATTCATGAAGAATTTCATTAAAATTATTAAAAATAATGATTTTAGTGATGAATTTTAATTAAAAATTTATTGAATAATTGAAATAAAGAAGATCTGCATTGAATACTAAAAAAAAGACGCATTTTATTATATAAATATTTTGTAAAAGAACTGTAAAAAAAAGATTAAAAAATCACATCTTATTAAAATAAGTCGAAAAAAGTCGTATAATCCAAAACCTGAAATTATTATTATATTAAACGTACTATTATTTATTATTATTTTATATTTTATTTATTTATATATTTATTTCATATTTATTTATCTATTTATTTTATATTTATTTTTATAATAAAATTAATGAATTATTGTTTCTTGAAATAATATAAAATTAAATAAAAAAAATTTTTTAAATTATTAAAAAAAAAAGTAAGAAAAAAAATTTCTTACATCTTCCATGTTGTAGCCATCAATCGTGATCATGATAGAGTACCAGCCTGCGGAAGATGGAGTCCAAGTAGCACCATAACTACCATTTCCATTTGGTATAACGAGCATACTTTCGCTGGATCTCTTTAAAGCCGGTGATGTATATCTCAATTCTTCAAATGAATAATTTTGATAGGCTTTCATTATCGTGATCGCGTAAAAACACATTTTATTGCTGACTGTCACTTCATATGGCACGTCTAACGATGGTTGTGGATGTCCACCAAATGTCATTGGATCTGCTTTTGAGACACGGCGAATTTTTATTCCCTGATCGGAATCAGATATATCCTTTTTGTCTATTGGTACCGCCTTTAGTTCGACCTGAAATAATTAATTATTATTTATAGAGAGCAAAGAAATGATTTTTTTTACATTTTATATTTTTAAAAAACAGTTTAACTTTTTAATTTTTAATAAAATTTTTAACCTTTGTGATATAAAAATTAAAATGTACTGAAGTTTTTTTTTATTTTCTAAATCGAGTAATAAAAGTAATTGAATTTATAAAAATAATTTAATTTAAAAACAATTGAATTTTAAAAATATTGTAATTTAGAAAATAATTTTCGACATAAATCGATTGGTCTATTTCTTTAATTACAGACAGAAAAATATTAATTTCTATTCTAAAAATTAGAAAACTTAATGAAATTATTATTTTTTCAACAAATAATACATTAAAATATTTTTTATAATTTAAATAAGTGAAACTAATTTGTTAATGGAAGTTAGTATTAATCAATTAGTTATAATTAATTTAATTTTAAGAAACAACGGATCATTTATTTGGTACGTGGTCACTTTTTCTAAAAAATATTTTCTAATGAAATAATTTTTCTAAAAAACATTTTTCCAACAATTTTTGATTTCTAAAATATATTTTTCTAAAAAGTTTAAATTTCTTTCTTTAAATTTTTTCAATATTATAATTCCAATATGTTCAATTTTCAAAGGATAATTTTAATTTGGATACAAAAAAAATTGATAAGACTTCTTCGAAATTGCTTGCGAATGACAAAATACGATTTTAAATAATTTCAAATTAAACTTATAAGAAATTTAAATTCATTGGTTGGAATTCATTAGAAAATAAAATTTGTAGAAAGATCAAAATTAGTAAATATTTTTTAGAAAAAATGTACCCCAATCCATTTATTTATAAAAATAATAAATAAAATATAATTAATAATTTTTTTGATTAAGGAATGTTAATCTTTTAGTTAATTAAATAGAAAAAATTTCTAAATATTCAAAATTAAAAAAAGTACAAAACAAAAAAGGACCAATTTCATATAATTTTGATACAAAGTTTGTAATAATAAAAAAAAAAAAGAATTTTCCAAACGTAAACAAATAAATGCAGATGAATTTTCTAAAGGAATCTCTCGATTATAATATTATTATGATATAATATAAAATCGAAAAGTGAATAATTTTGTTATCTGGAACGAGAAAAATGAAATAAAATGAAAATATTTTGAAAATACAAACCTTGAGACCAGGTACGTGGACTATCTCGCCAAATTGATCCCTGGCGAGAATCGTGATGACAGCAGGCCATCCGCATCTCATTTCCTCCCTGGAATAAAGTACCTCGCATTGAGAGGGATCCACGAAGCTGTTTGGTTGTAACCATCTGGCCAAGCGACCGCCACTTGTGCCCACAGTACTCGATACAAAGTCCCTCAGGAATAAACGCTCGTTGGACTGGCAACTATGAAAAAAAAAGAAAATATTCTTTATTCACAATTTTCTATTCTTTTTTCGTTCGTGCATCTCCAATTCAAGGATTTTTTGTAAAGAAAACTTTTTTTCCCTTTTTCAACATTCTTCAGAATTTTTACTAATTACTCGTGGGAAAAAATGAGTCGGTGTCAAAATTACATAAAATTTTTCAAAAAAAAAAAAATTTCTGATTGTACAAAACAGAAATATTGTTATTTTTGCATTCCATGTTTTTACTTTTATTATTTCAATTATTTATATTTTTTCTTTAATTATTTTTTTACTTTGTTATTTTCTACTTATATATTTTTTTAATTTCTTAGTTGTCACATAAAAAATTGTTTCTTTTAATTTCAGTTATCACATAAAATTTTTTTTTCTAATGTAATACAATTTTTTTTATTTTGTTATTTTATACATAAAAATGTTTCGAAATTTGTTACTTTATATATGTATATATAAAACTTTTTAGTTTAAAAAAAAATTACATTTAAAGATAACAAATGAAAAAAAATTTTTAGGTAATAACTAACAAATTTAAAAAAAAATTGTGTAGAAAAATAGTAAAAAATACAAAAATTTTCAATGTTAAAAATGAGCAACAAAAAAAAGTATTTTATGTTTAAAAAAGCAATTAAAAAACTTTTAAATAACTAAAATAACAAAAATAAAAACGCCGAATATAAAAATTATATTATTTACTTTTTTTTTTAATTTACCCTTTTTTGTAAAATTTTGTGTATTTTTGATACTTAAAAAAATATTCCAAATTAAAAAGTAAGAGAAAATTTAATAACATTTTTTTAATTATCGAAAATTTTCTGTAGCATTTATAAAAAATTTTAATTAATAACAATAAATATAAATTATTTTCCCCGACTAATGAGAGATAGAGATGAAAAAAGAAGATAATTGCAATTAGATACAAATTAAAATTTCTTTGCGACAATTCTATAAATTTGTTTGCTGATTCATTGATTTTAAAATGAGATTGGTATATAGAATTTATAGAAAACATGTTTCGTATGGGCAATGCAATACCTTCTAATTGGTATCCATATATACTATAGATCTTGACAATAGACTATATATCACGAAAGAAGAGAAACTGACGACGTTTTCTCTTCTATTTTGCTCTCGCTGTGCCAAGAACTAAACTCCTTTTTTCATTTTTCTTGACTCTCACATCGTGTGGACCTTTTTGAACTCATCCCTAATAAGGTGCAATCACAACACGACACCCGCTTCAAGATCCACGGCCAACAGCTCTCACAAAGTACTATACGTGCTCGGGCTTACATTTCCTATTTCTCTCTCTCACAGCTTCTTTATATATATAATACGAGACACTTCTTCTCTTCGTGTCAACAAGTTCCAAGTTCCAAGTTTGGAAAGTTTTTTTTTTCAAAGGAAAAAATAAACTTCACTCTTTCTTGGCAGTAGGAAAATTTAAAAATAATCATTTATTTTTAATTTGAATTTTTTAAATTTAAAAGTTGGTTAAATAAAAATTCTGTTAAGTGAAAATTTGGCTAAATAAAAGTTATGCTAAATTCAAAATTGGCTAAATAAAAATTCTGTTAAATTCAAATTTGGCTAAATAAAAATTCTGTTAAATGCAAATTTGGTTTAATGAAAATTCTGTTGAACTTAATCTTGGTTAAATAAAAATACTTTAAAAAGCAAATTAAATTAAATTACACGGAAAAAAAGAAAAAGTAATTTTTACTACTTTCATAGTAATAAGGGAACTGTCCGAATTTTCTGCGCATCTCTGGTAACTTTTACTCCAAAAATAGTAAAATTTACTATTTTTGTAGTAATTTTTACTGTTCCGTAGTAATTTTTACTATTTCTGGAGTAAATTTTACTATTTTTGGAGTAAAAGTTGCCAGAGATGCGCAAAAACTTCGGACAGTTTCCGCTTTACTATGAAAGTAGTAAAAATTACTTTTTCTTTTTTTTCGTGTATAATTTTGTTAAATTCAATGCTTTTGGTTGAAGAAAATACATTCCAATGCAAAATAAAGTAAATATTAATTCTATTAAATAAAAATTTGATTAAACAATTTTTGTAAATTAAAATTTGATTAAAAAGGCACAAATTTGGTTCAAATTGGGACAACATAAAAAGGGACGAATTTGGTTAAACGAAATTTCGATAAAATATGAAATTAAATGCAAATTTGATAAAAAAAACCTTCAAAAAAAAATTCTTTTAAATAATAAATTTTTGCGGTTCAATTAAAATTCTTTCAAAAGCAAATTTGTTTAAATATCGTAATAATAAAAGAAAAAATAATAACAACATACCTACTTCTGTTAAAATGAATTTTTTGGTAAAATAAAAATTCTTTTAAAATTTAAATCGATTTAATTGAAAACTGTGTCAAATAATTGACAAATAATTAATATTTAATTTGAATTTTAAAATTAAAGTTGGTTAAATGATAATTCTGTTGAATTCAATTTTAGTTAAATAAAAATACTTTCGAAAGCAAATTTGGTTAAATGTACTAATAATATACATTGTTAAATAAATAAATAATAATAATAATCATAAATATGGTAAATAATAACCTTCTTCTGTTACATTGAATGTTGGTTAAATAAAAATCTATTCAAAATTAAATTCGATTAAATTTAAAATTGTGTTAAATTTGTACAAATTTAGTTAAACAAAAATTGTTTAACTATAAAATTCTCGTCAAGTTACAAATAAAATTAACATTAAAATAGTTCAAAATAGCAAAATTTTATTAACAGCGGAAAATTAAAAATTTTTTTTTTTAAATTAAAATCTCACTAAATATGTACAACACATTTTTGTTTTAAAAAAAATTTTTTTTTTATTCTTATTGTTGAAAAGAATTTTTTTCTAGCCGAATTTTCATGTGTTCGAAATTAAATTTGACTGAATTCTTAAAATGTTGAATTTTTATTTTACAGATCTTTGTTTTTGTTCGAATAAATAAAAACTTTGCACCCAAATTTTTCTGCTAGAAATTTATTCAGACAAATAAAAGTTCTTTAATATAAAAATTTAGCGTTTTAAAAATGTTGTCAAATGTAAATTCGAAAATTTGTGTGGTAAAAAATTTTTTCTAATATTCGTTCTGTAAAATAAAAATTTCTTTAAAAATGTTTATTCTGTCTATATTAAAAATTCGAACAAATAATAATTCCGTCAAATTCAAATTTTTTTTAAAAATATGTGTTTAAATATCAATTTTGTAAAATAGAAATTTCGTTAAAAGAAATTTTTGTTTAATATTTATTCAAAAAAATGAAATATCGACTAAAATTAAATTATTAAAATTGACATTCTGTTTAAACTCAATTGATTAGAATATTAATTTTTAACAGCGGAAAATTTGTTTAAATTAAAATCTCGTTAAATGCAAAAAATTTGGTTTTATAAAAATTTGTTAAAAAAAACTTATTAGTTAAATTTTAAAAAATTATAAAGCCAATCAACTTTAAAATATTTTCATGCAAATTTTTCTTGAATTTTAGCCTCTCTTTGTCAAAATGAGTTCAATTTTTATTTTTTCTCTCTTTTCTTTTGATAAAAAACTCATAAAAAGTATATTAACCATAAAGACAAAAATAATGCGAACGCGGTGAATAAAACGAGATGTATGTATATACATAGAGGAAAATAAACTTCAAGCATAACGTATGCTTGGCACGTGGTCATTTCGGAAATGGCCATTTCTGGGGCAGAAAGACAGGTACTTCCGCACGTTGCAACAGAGAGAGAGAGAGAGTGAGACTCGTTGTGAATGAATGCCCTCGTCAAACTATCACGTGTATATGCTGCAACAGACAGAGACAAGGGCACGCGCAATTTCTCATGGGAAATTAAATGGCGAGTTTGGTTACCTCTCTCTCTCTATCTTTCTCTTTAGAATGAGAATTTCAGGTTCAAAGTTCGTGACTTTAGAGAAAGAGAGATTCACTCCATTATAACAATAACGTGCCCCGCGCAAGTTTTGTAATTTTCCCAACAAAGTAAAGTAAACCATAACAAATGCACTCCTTCTCCCCCTCACGTTGGTATGTATATATACATAATTTCACTTTACACTTTACGAGAGGCCAAAAACTTCTCTCTATTCTATTCTACGAATTTCCAAGATTCACAATTTTGTTCCGGCCGTGCGTAAAAATAAAAAACAACCCTACGCCCTCTGTGAAAATGAAGTCATTTTCTTCACTTTATATAATAATGGTTATGACCTTCATTGTTTCACTGTGGGAATATAAAGAGTTTTTCGCAAAAGTTTCGTGTATAATACGTTTTTTAATGTTCCTTCTTTCTCGTCGAAAATTTCTTTTTAATATAATGCTTTTCATTTTTTCATTTGCGATTTTGTAAAATTATTAGTACTCTTTTTAATTTCCATGTTTTTAAACATATAGAACCATTTTTTTATAATTGGTAATTTTTTTTCAAATTATTGTACTACACTCAGAGAAATGGTATATTTGTCTCCGAGCCTACTAACTCATTTATTTGTTGCAAATATATTTCATTTTATTGAAATAAAAAATTTATTTGAGCCAAAGAAAAATTTATTTCTGATAAATAAAATTTTTATTTACGCCAAATAAATAAGTTAGTAGGCTCTGAGACAAATATACGTTTATTTAACTCAAATATATTTTATTTGGTTCAAATAAATCATTTCTCTGGGTGTAAAGTTTTTACTATTATTGTAAATTTTCATTTGATTGAGTGTCGACTGAAAATTATTATTTACAGCGGCGTAGTTGGGCTAAACTTAGGAGTAGACATGGTGAACTTGGTGAGGCCCCTTATCGCGATTATAGACATGAATTTTTGGTTACTTATACATATAATTATTATATTAAAAAATATTTTAACCCAACCAAAAATTTCAGTATTATACCAGAGTTGACTACTGGCGCAGTACTGGTTCAGTATTGGCTGCCGAGGCTGGGCAGTCTGTACTGAACCAGTAC